GAAAGACTGTCTAATTAATATTGCACATTATTGACAATGGAACAATAAAATATATATAATTTTTGCTAAACAATTTGAAACACTATATATACATATTTATATTTAATGTTAAAATCTTCAATTAGGTAATGGAATATTGGACTAGTGCATCACTGTTTCATTGGGAAGATATCTTGTTGGACATTTTTAAAAATATTCATGTATTATAATATTATAGAACATTAGTATTTATTGCAGTTTAGCATACCGATTTAGTATACCACATAATTTTCACATTATAATTAGTAATTCAAACAAAATGATTTTGACTATATTAGCTATAAACTTAATCAATTGGTTCTCATAACCGACCGGGTCAAATTTTACAAAAAATTTTTAAGTATATTTACTATCCGGGTAAGTTTACTAAAAAGATCTATAAAAATTTTTATATGTTTTTTATATATAAAATTTTTTGAAAATAAAATTAAAAGCCGGGTTGCCGGTTCACTTTTAAAAATTTTATGTTTTGAGAACCAATTTATTAAGTTTGTATGGCTTTATAGTTTATTGTATCTTTATTTTTCATATTATAAAGATATCAAATCTCAGTAATGAGTCTACCTTTTCCGTCAATCTTACTTTCACCTTTGCCATGTTGTTTATTCCCAAATATTTGCTCTATTGTTTCCTTATCTCTTTTATATTCTTGTCCTTCTCTAATACACTTTTCTCGTTCTGCTTCAACTTCATGTCTCAAAATTTCTAAGACGGCCGTGCCTTGTTGGGGCAATGAGTTTACATATGCCATATAAAAATAAAATTTCTTTCCCGTCAAGAAAACTTTTTTTTTATATTTATCTTTTGATTTCAAAAGATTCTTTTGTAAGTGATTACTTGAAGCTGTAGCTATGGATGTTTGTGAAATAGCCTGCTGCGACTGAAAGAGTCGATAGAGATCTGAGAGTGCAGCAAGCACAATGTCCATAGATGTAAGTAAACAAACAATATCACCTAAGACTAAGGACTGAAATCCTGAAGGTTGCGTGTATTTCGGATTCTATATATATTAATGTATTAATATGAATTGGATTTTGGTTGAATAAAAAGTTTAAATAGTAAAGTAGTCTCCAAACTGTACTTGAATGGTTATGATGGTGCTAGCCATGATAGCTTCATCTACACTCTGAAACACCAAATTTTTTGTAGCATCCAAAATAGGGGATAGTTCCCAAAGTATGTTTATCGAATCTTGGGCATTTTCGTGAATTGAACCGTTAAACATTCGGCAGACGTACGCGTATACATACCTATTTATTATTAAAAGTTAAGGATTTTACATTTAAAGGAGAATATAATACACCATCCATCTCAATTAGTGAATATTAGGATACAAAATATTTATAAGGTTCAAAGCCAAAGCAGGATTGGGAGATTTCTTTGTTAGCACCTCAATTCTTTTTATATCGGATAGTATCTGTGGTCTCTGCGATAAATTATCATTAAACTTTTTTTGAGAATATTCTGATAATTGAGTTTCATCTCTGTCTTGAGGTAAAATTTCTACTATCTTGTCACTACCACTATGTTCCCACCATGGTTTCCATAATGGTAACTCGTCAATAAGTTCCAGAAAGTTTTCAGGTTTGCCATCAATAAATTTTTGTTGAAATTCCGCACGTTCCTGCGGCGTCAGTTTGTCCCAGATTGTTTCAATATCGGCAGAATCTGCAAATGGGAAATAAAATAAGCTGATGATAATAATAGATAATTAAAGAATTTACAACATTATAATACTTACCAATATCCAATCCATTAAACCGATCAGTAATATCATCATAATCTATAAAGATCGAACAAAAAGTGTAAAAGATCAACCGTAATATATAATTAAAAAAAAAAAAAAAAAACAAACCTTCATCCACCATTTCTATTGCCTCTCTCGACATTTCATCACCTTCTTGCTCAAACCTTCGTAACATGTCAATCATTTTTTTTTTATCATCTTCATTGACGCGTTGACTTTTGATCTCATCCATAATCTTATCTTTGTAAAATGTTTCTGTGCATTCGGAGTGAGTCTAAATCATAAAACTGGATTAAACACTACATTGAACATTAATAAGAGCAATAATAAAAGTAGGGAAATACCTCATGTTTATAACAATTCAGTGAGCAATATTTGAGATTACACCGCGGACACGTATATTTCGAAGCCTCGCGCTTGCATCTATGAAGAGGATAATTTTTTTCAATATTAAATTATATAAATTCTTCAAAATGGAAAATAATAGACTATACAAATTACATGCCACAAAACTGAGGAATTTCTACTTCGTCCATTATTGATTGTTGACCTGTCGAAATAAGGTTTGACATTTTCTTAATGTTAGTATATTCTTCTGAACTTTGTATGTAATTCCACAGAGATAATATAAAATACACCTATGGTGTTCTATATGTTTTATTGTCCGAAGCGTAGCGAGGATTTACATGTACAAGTAAAACTTAAAAAATGTCCACCTGACTAAATTGTGATTGGCTGATGATCTGCACATACTAGAGAAGTTTTGTCCACAAATCGGCAAAGTCGATTAATCGATTAGTGTCTAAAAAGTTAAATCGATTAGTTGTCAACTAACCAACTAAAAGTTACTCTTGTTATAGTGAAGTGATCGGGCTGAGAAAAAAATTCTTCACTATAGCTTATATCGAGAGAATACTATATAAACTTTATTATATCGAGTGAAGAGTTAATAATAATGGCAATGAACTATATCAAGATCTTCACTATAACGAGAGTGACTTGTAATCAATTTTTCCGATTTGTAACACTAGCCCCCAGGCGCGAAATATCCATCTACCGTTAAGTATAAGATATTGGTCATACGATCAAAAATAACAGGACATTTTTTTTCATCGGAGTTCATGTCACCCAATGAAAAAAATTTCCTGTTATTTTCGTATGACTAATATTGATGTTATTGTTTATATTATTTTATCAATTGTAGT